CACACTTTGAGCGTGCCCTATATTCGCCAGATATTTACATTCTACACTGAGTTTTTGCGACTTCCAAACACTCTCGCGAACCGGGTTACTGAATTTTGCGAGAAGCACCGCCCACCTTGAGTACGCCCCGCCCATTTTGGATGTGTCTGCCACAGTTTAGTGGCAAACTCTTACTACGCGCTCCGCCCGGCCCAGCCGGGCCGTATCAGAAGGAGGCGCGCCGGCGTTAGCCGGCGAGCCGACTGGTAATTCAATGACCCAAAAAGGTTCGCGAAATGAGTATGATGGTGAACAGTGGTAATAATGCAGCGATCCGCATGACAAAGTATTCGACTTGTCAGTCGAATGTTCAGATTGTCACATCTCCTTTGGTTTTACCTCCAACAGTCATTTTTGACAAGTTGCGCGTTAGTACAACTCATTCCGAAAACAGTGGTCTCAGAGCGCGCTGCTCAAGAAAAATGAGCAACGCGGAAGACTCGAAATCGCGAGGTTGCTGAACACGAAAATTCCCCTGCTTCGGGTTTTGCGAGAGCTTCGAATTTGACCAAGTGTGAAGCACGCTCTCGAAGCATAAGCTCCGAGAGTGGACCTTGTTACTGAACTCGGCCTTTATTTGTTTAGCCTCTATTTTCAAAAGTAAGAGAACAGCTGAGGCGGAGGTGGTGTAGTGACAAGTGGCGCGCTTACCACTCGCGCGGTCCTGGGTTCGAATCCCGGGTCGACTCCCGCCCAGGCCAACCAAGCCTTCTACCCTCCGGGACGGTAAATTGGTACCAGATTCGTCTGGGAGGATAAAACACTGACTTGTACATCGGCTGGCCCCGCAAGTCATTGTATAGGCCACATCGCATTCAATAAGCCACTACGATTCTGAATGGAAGTAGAATGCGTGCCGCATCCCACAAAGGGATTGATCAACGGCGAAGACTTTATCCATTTTTATCCTTTAGGAGAACAGCTAAGAAAGTAACGGAACTACACTTCACATTCAGATGGAATGTGCGTGGCTGCAGGCTCAACTGGGACGTGACGTTCGCAGCGCTTCCAATAGAGCGTCACAGATGACGAAGATAGTCCTTGTCCAGCCAAAGACAGGATATCAATTGTCTCCAATGGAGAGATGCCATGAAAAACGCACCCTACACCATGTTCCAAAAGAAACGCGAAACCACACCCTCCTCGCTCCCGGGTTATGGCTATTATTGCATCAACACATCCTTCCATATGATGCTGAGACCAAGTTTGGAAAACAAGTGCTCAACCTATATTGAATTCCTTGATGTCATTTTGCCTACTTCTGGGAGTCCTCACAAAACCTGATAATTCATCTAAGAAAATGGAGACAGATTGGTTACGTACCATATAGAACATAGAAAGACAAGACAGTACACAAATTTATTTATAATTGCACTTGAAAATGATGCCTACTACGATCATAACACTAATGGAAAGATCAAAGCACAGAGCTGGTAGAGCAGTGTCAGTAAATCTGGAAAAGCACCAATCTGGAAGAGAGAATCAGAGAATCGCATGTGAAAAGTATCAGAGCATAAGAAAGCATACGTATGAGAGAACCACAATGGAGAGAGAGAGAGGAGAAATCAAAACGAAAGCCAGTGACCAACGCAGTGTGACGAGTTTCACCAAATTGTATGACAACACATTAAAAACAAAATAGAACAGTTTTTAATACAGAAAATTATTGGACAACAATATTCAAAACAAAGCTTGTGTTGAGAAGGAAGACATGGAAAGGCAGAACCCTACAAGGGTCTCGTAACAAAGTGGCAGTATAACGAGAAATGTATGAGTGAGGGCAGTGGCTTAAACATCGCAACTAGCGAAGAATTCTGTACTAGCATGTATGTCTTTGGTGACCTGTTCTAAGCGGGAATTCAACTCATCCAACGTTCGTTGGTAGTCGTCGAGCCGCACATCAGAAGCATCCTTCGTCAACACTAAAAATATATCTTCAGCTTGTGTTTTGAGAAAAAACCTCCATATTAAGAAGAACGTTAATGTGAGAAATCTATTCAGAATTTCAACCCTTCGGATTGCTATTCACAATGACAGTAGCATATGAATACGAAATCGACTTTTTGTCGGCCATTACAGTGGTATCCATCTATCATCACTTCATATGATGACTACGAATTGGGATGATTATTCTTCCCTTTTTCGTAGTGAAGTGACCCCTCTAAAAATAATGCTTCCGGTTGATGACCTTTTTCGGTTTTT